ACGTAGGTTTTAGAAATTTCTTTATCGTGCCAACGTTTCGAGCTTTATTGAGGTCATCTTTATGGCCTGGTATTTATAAACATTGTTTAAATTTGTGTAGAGATTAGTGACCGTCTGAATAACTATTGTTTAAATTGTACAAATACATGTAAGATGTTAAAAAAAACGAAAAAAGAAGAAAAAAAGAATTTATACAATGCTAACGATTTTAGATTCAATCAAAGTATTTGTACTCACTCAAAGTGTTCGTTTTTTTTTAGTGACCGTTAGCCAATGATTATTTGGAGATCGTGAGATGCGGTCTGGTCTAACGTAGGGTTTAGAAAAGCATTTTCTTTATCGTGCCAACGTTTCGATCTTCAATGAGATCATCTTCAGGGCTCAAAGTGTTTGTTTTCCGTGTAGATGTGTCAGTCAATATCTCACTAGCACTCTCAACACGATACACAAGAATGTCACATCTACACGGAAAACAACCACTTTGAGTGAATACAAATACTTTGATTAAATCTAAAATCGTTAGCATTGTGTAAATTCTTTTTTCTTCTTTTTCGTTTTTTTTCACATCTTACATGTATTTGTAAAATTTAAACAATGTTTATAAATACCAGGCCCGGAAGATGACCTCAATAAAGCTCGAAACGTTGGCACGATAAAGAAAAAGTTTCCTAAAATCTACGCCCCACCTAATTACTATGTGAAAATTAATTTCAGATGGAATAAAAAGTTATATAAAATTAAATATAAAAATAAAGGTTTCTTCCTTTAAATTGGGAATTTTCGAGAAAAAAATGGACAAATTTGGAAAAAATGGGTTATTACTTAAAATAACTTAAAAATTAATTAAAAATGAAATTAAAAATTTAAATTACAAATTTTTTAATTATAAAGTAATCAATGTTAATATTGAATCCTTTATTTTTATTATTTGGAGATCGTGAGATGCGGTCCTCTCTCCAAATAATAAAACTAAAAACGATCTCCAAATAATAAAAATAAAGGATTCAATATTAACATTGATTACTTTATAATTAAAAATTCTGATTATAAACGATTCATTTGTAATTTAAATTTTTAATTAATTTTCAAGTTATTTTATGTAATAACTAATTTTTACCAAATTTTTCCATTTTTTTCTTGAAAATTCCCAATTTAAAGGAAGAAACCTTTATTTTTATATTTAATTTTATACAACTTTTCATTCCTTCTGAAATTAATTTTCACATAGTAATTTATGTAAGTGCTCATTTTATATATTTTAAAATATTCCCAAATTAAAAGAAATTTTTTTATATTTAATTTTATGTAATCATTTTGTCTTATAAACCAATTGGACTCCCGAAACTATACAGAAATTTTACTTTACATTCTTATTCGTATACTATCTTGTATATGTATACTCCCAAGTTTCTTTATCGCTTTAAGGAAAGGGTTAATTTGAAATTTAAAAAAGTATTATTTTGAAGTTATAAAGGTTCACTTAAAATTAAAAAATGTTTAGTTTGAAGTTAAAATGGGTTAATTTGAAGCTAAAAAATGGTAATTTGAAATTAATAGAGTCTAATTTGAAGTTTAAAAACGTAAATTTTTGGATGTATTGTCTACGTGACAACGACAAGACCTCGTATTTTGCCGGTGAAGCGACAAAAACTGCTTCACTAAGGCTGGCGTACCTGATATTGGCCCCTCGGATTTAACATTTTGTTGAATTTTTTTTTTGAATTTTTTTTTACGATGGTTCGCAACAGCAGAGGTCACATCAACCCTCGGGGTGCCGGTGTTTTTGAAAAATGCAGGGCCGCTGGATTCGAACCCGGGACCTTCACCTTACAGTGATGAGCGCCGTGTCAACGCCTAAACCGTTGCGGCCACCGACGCCCCGCCCCAATTTGTTGATGAATTATTAATATTGAACGGAAATTGAAAAAAAAATCATTGATCAAAATCCGAAAAATCTTTCACTCATTGGCTAAATGAAATAACGGGAAAACGTACTCTATTAAGAAAATACTAAGCATTTTACTGATATATTTATATAGAATTAGAATGTTAAATTTGTATTTTCACCCATTTTCCGTTCCCTGTTGGATTTTGGTTTATATCATATACAGTAGGAAATGAAGTGCTGCTTTTAAAGTATTCGACTCACTTCACCTCCGGGAATAGATTCCTGGGGTCAAAGAGTGAAGTCAAGAAAAGTAAACGGATTTCTTACGCTAATGTAATCATGCTAAAACTAATGTCGACGTTAAAAGAAGCATAGCACGTCCGTTATGATAGAACTGACTTCCAACTCGATCCATGGGCTTAAAACCGAGATAAAATCTATCGAATTGAAAAATAAAAGAGTAGAAATAAAAGTGTATGATGTTTTAAATAAAAGCAAACTGGTTTTTAAGGAAAAGGAGGCAATTAGAGTTATAACTGAAAAGGTCGAAAAGTGTAATTATAAAATAAATACTTTTTGTCATTAATTTCTTTTCGGGGTCCGTTTCTCTGAACTCAATAAAAGAAGTCGTAATTACTGCCGTATAAAAGAAACTCTCCAACCCGAGAGCCGATTTGCATGTATCGGCAGTTAATGCGGTCCGAGGGGCCGGTATTAGTTAATACTTTAACATATAATAAGGGAGTAATGTGAAGAAGCAGGTGAGTGCGGGGCCGTGAGGTATGGAGGCCTTCAGATGAAATCTACACTCCGTTTTGATATACGGCCGTACCGGCCCACAGACGTCTCGCGGCCCCTCAAGGCTTCCGTTCTACACTTTATCTACACCTACCGTCATACCTCGGCACCACCCCTTCATTAATTTAAATCAATGGTATACGGGTATCGGCTTTATACCAGGAAACTTTAAACCGATATAACAGCCGGGGGGAGCCGGCTCCAGAAAAAAAAATACAGAATTCGCAGACGGATGATCCTTGTGACAGTTCACTAAATATACTATAAAACAGCAGAAGATAGAAATAAATTCACATCTATAATTTATAATTTGAAGCTTTCAGGTCACCCAGGTAGGCCTGTTTTAGGCAAAACAGAAGAAGAGATGCACTGATTGTTGGTGAAATATATCTTCATTTACAGAAAATATTTCCACTTACACCGTACATTGTGTATACATTACAAACCTCATAATAGAGGCATTTACAAATATATTGGAAATAGTATAAGCAGAGGCCTTGTATAATACATTGTAAATAGTATAATCATGTGTCATGCCTTGGCTCCATACAGAGAGCGTGTAGGCATGCCGCCGGATTTAAAAAGAGTTCTCGAACACGGTTGCGAGTTTCAGGGTCCCCTGTTCCGCTTTTTAGTGGAATTGGGAATTTTTTTATTATATATAGCCTTCAATATATGTGTTTTGTGTTTCTGTGTCATGTATGAGTGAATGTATTTATTAGTGTGAATGGGGAGGGCATGGCCAAGTAGCTTCTTCATCGCCTCTCAGGTTGTGTGTAGGACTTGGGCCTAAGAAGGAAAACTCCATCTACCAAACAGTATTAGTGTGATCAATGTATGTTGGTGTGAATGTATTTATTAGTGTGAATGGGGAGGGCATGGCCATGTAGTTTCTCCATCGCCTCTCAGGTTGTGTGTATGACTTGGGCCTAAGGAGAAAAGCTCCATCTACCAAACAGTATTAGTGTGATCAATATATGTTGGTGTGAATGTATTTATTGGTGTGAATGGGGAGGGGCTGATGGTGACGTAGCACCTCCATCACCCGTCATGTTGCGTGCGTGACTTGGGTCAACGGCGGAAAACTTTTAAAGTACCCCATCGACCCCAAATTGGAGTAGACTATTGTAGTGAACAGGTAGATGGAGGAATATCTACCAAACAGTATGAGTGAGATCAATGTAGGTCAAGGTATGATTGTATTTATTGGTATGATTGTGTATTGAGTGTGTAACGGTATTATTGTTAGTGCTTCGGGGCTGAAATGACCAAGCTGTCGGACGCCCCTGTCAAAAAAAAAATTATAAAAAGTGTAATCGGACCTGAATATATTCATGATTTCCTTCAGTGGTTTAGAATTGACAATAATTATTTTTAATAACAATTTTGTGACTGGTAAAATATATCTAGTTGGTCGTTTGCACAATTTAGTATTTTATAAGCCCTTTCCAAAGGAGCATTTTTCTTAAAATTGTTTTTATGGCGTGCTATATAGAACAACTCTGTTTGACTATTTCTATACGCAGGTACATGAAATCTCTTCTAATAGAGAGAGGCATTTAACTATATTTTTAATTATGTTTCACTTAATTAAGGGTTTTTTTAGTTGAGATAAAAAAGTCAATGTCAAAGTCAAATTAGCTTTTTAATTATTTAATCAATTTATGCTTAATTATATAAATACTCAATTAATTATTCACAATTGTTTCGACATGAAAAATTTGTGTCACAGACGGGATTCGAACCCACGATCTTCGGCTAGATACGCCGCTCCTCTACCACTTGAGCTCACGACTTCGATCCCTCGGATACTAACTTCCCATCTCAACCCCACCTTTTGAATTTTCCCTCCTTTTTTATCTCAACTAAAAAAAATTTAATTAATTGAAAGATATCAATTGGTCAAGCGGACCACGAAAACTAGTGAATTGACAATTATTTTGAACAATTAATTAAGGTTTTCAGTTGAGATAAAAAATTCAATGGTACGAGCGGGATTCGAACCCACGACCTTCGGCTTGATACGCCGCTGCTCTACCATTTGAGCTATCGTGACCTCGATCCACTCGGACACCAACCTTCCATGTCAACCACACCTTTTGAATTTCCCCTCCTTTTTGCCATTTTTCGCTTTTTTATCTCAACTGAAAACCTTAATTAATTGTAAGATATTAATTGGTCAAGCGGACCACGAAACTAGTGAATTTAATAAGTTTAATATGAAGTATACTTCATTAAAGCTCTCCGTGGCCATTTCATCTGTCGCCGAGAATCAAATTGATTACACGACATTTGAAAAATACCACTTCAAGATATGGATATGGACAGGGACCCAAGGCGTTCAGTACCTCCACCTGAGTCTATTGTGCTCCTCTGGTTTTTCCAACTCATTGGCCAGTTTCTGGCTCCTCCAAATCCTTCCAGCATCTCCTTAGTGTTGGATCTTGCTATTGATTTCTCTTGTCCTAGTTGCAAGAACCTGCAGAAAGATGGTATGTGTTCTGCGGTCTCCTCCTCATTCCGGCAGTATCTGTTCAGGTGTCTTCTGTCTGAACTCCTATCCGGTGCATTTTCTTTCTTAAGTGGCACTGCCCCGTCAGGAGTCCAACCGGAATCCTGGTTCGGTTGCGATTGCATTTCACTAATTCCTTGGTAAGTTTTGCAGATGGCCGTTATATGAATCTCTTCGCGTGCCGCAACCACCAAACTTTGGACTCATCAAGGATCCATTTTAGGATCTCTTTAAAGCAGTTCTTACTCACAGTTTGAGTTAATTGTATTACTGTCATGCTTTGACTAGTAAATTAATAGAAATGATAAAGATGGGTGAGAATGTTGTTTAATATCTTTAAAAGATAGTTCTTTCTCACAGTTTTGAGTATGGATTGTGTGTAAAAACTATCTTTTAAAGATATTAAACAACATACTCACACCTTTATCATGTCTATCCATTTTGGGATGTAACCACTTTTGGCCACAGTAAGGTTCGGGACCTAGAGGGTCCTTATTGGACTTTTCCATATATGCTCTGGGATCCATGCCAGGGTCAGGTCATTTGTGTCCCGGGGGGACTTCTCAGACGCCAAGTGATCACCAAGAAGATTTTACATGCATGAACTTGTCACATTCCTTGGTCAATTCTCAATTTAATACATAGCGTAAACAAATATTTATTGTTAAAACAATGAGACAAATTAAGGGTAGACGTTTCTTTTATTGAGAGAATTTTAAAAAATCAATTGGGTGGAATTTTTTGCCTGTCAGTGTATATATTGATTTGTTAATAATCAATTTTTTGTTCTAGAGATTAGTAAAAAAATAATTACTCTAAAAAGGAAAAGCTCAAAAAAATTTCTCAGTTGATCCAAATCATAAAAGCTGAAGGCTCAAGTGTTTATTTCTAATAGGAACATTGAAAAACTATAGATAAAAGAACAAATAAGGCAAAATAGATTGGTTCAATTATGAAGCACACTTTCACAAGAATTTTAAAGTGGAGTTTTTTACTCAGTGGTTGTGGGACGTGTGTCCTTTTCATCCTTTTCATAAAGCACGTGGTGTTTTGTTCATTCTTCCATCCAGTAATCCGGGAGGAAGGCCGTTTAATTATTTTACCAACGGATTTTGGAAATTTGTGAAGATCGTCCTGGAACTTAGTACCAGAGTCTCTTCTTCGAATGGCCATTCCTTCCAAAAGAGCAAGCCATTCCTTATGAGTTCTCTCGGTTGCCATTCAGCATTTAAATAAATAAGATGGGTCCAAGGGTCCATGTTTGTATTCTCCGCAATATCACAGTTGATTATCATTGAGTTTAAATCTTTCAAGATATTCAAGGTTATATGCTCTGTATATAATCGCCAAACTGCAATCAGGTGAAGAAAGGTGTAAAGAGAAGGAGACAGGGATGGCATTGGTATCAATATAATTAAATAAAGAAACGTGCCTGACTGAAAAATACAGCGAGAATATGCGAACTATGGACTAAACCGGAACTGTTGCTTGATCGCATTTCGCCATGTTTCGAGAGGTCATAACCATAATAAACGGATAAAGTCAAACTAAAAGTTCATTCAGACCCAAACATAACATTTAACAAATTTGTTCTCCAAATGTAATCCGATAGGAGAAAACTGATCAATAGGATTAGAAAAACACCATCTTGTGATGCGTTTGACGATTCAACCACAACAATTCTAACCAGCTTTGTTAGTTCATTATAATCATAAAATAAAAAGGACATACACACGGGAAAACTCGCAGACCCAAGCACTATTTGACAGGCCAAAATTGGCGAAGACCAGGATTATTTAGTTATTTATCTTCCTTTCGTAAGTTTACCTTTAAATACCAGTAGGTTAAAGATTAAGGATGCGATCATCAAAAAAAGTTTTGTAACTTATGCCAAGCATTCAAACTTTATTGAGGTCTTAATTAAGGCTCTATAAGTAATTCCAACGCTTATAATTAATAATAGGTAATAAAATAATTATCAGAAAACACTGGATAACGTACTCGTCACAATATTAAAAGTAAAATATTATAATCATAACAGTAAAAACAACAATATGTAATCTAAGTAAGTAAAATGTAACCAAATGAGAGCCGATCGTAATTACTTGTAGAGTCCTGATGATTACTGATGGTATGGAATGGTAGAAAAGGATACTAGGAAGCGGGGTTTGTATTCCCCAGGCACTGCAGCCTTCTGGCTTATTGTACCTTCCTAGTTCCTTAGTTCAGTCAATAGGCTCAATTCTTCTTCTTAGAAGTATCAGGTCATTGACTGCTGCTGCAATTTGATTCCCTAAGTTTTTTCCGTACGTTAGGTTAAACCTCCATTGAGCTGTTGCTTCGCATTCAAAGATGATATGAGTGGCTGTTTCCTCGTCCTCATTACATAATCTGCAAATGGGATCATCATGTTGTGTAGATGTTTACTATGTCTAGCACCGCTAGAGTTTATCCGCTTCTCCTTTTGTTTTGCTTGGATCCATTCTGCGATGGATATTTATAATTGTTCTTGTTATCCTATGTACAGCGTTCGGGGCCTTTGTATCGTCTCGCAGATTTTCCTCTGGCCGGTATGTTTGCTTTCTCGTTACCCAAAATCCCTCTGTGTCTTAGCACCCAAGATATCATAAGGTTTCCCGAGGTTTTGGAGATTTTGGATGCATTCACTGACTAATTTTGATATGATTTTTTACAGCTTATGCTTTAATAGCTGCTTGGCTATGAGATCTTATGAGGATTCTTTTGATTAGTTGATAAACTGAAAGGTTTTGGAGTTACCATTGTTTATTTAGAGTAATGTCATGAAATCTTAAAAAATCAGAAAAAAGTGGAATAACTCCGAAACTGCCGAGATTCGGGCCATAGTTAATTAGGACTTTTAGGTTCCGTTTTGAATGTAGAATCTACGGGCAAAGTTTGTAACACTAGAAGCAGAAACAATGTATACATTTATTTATTTGACCAGTCCGTCTGTTTTCTCGTTACCCAAAATTCCCCTGTGCCCTGGCACCCAAAATATCATCGGGTTGTTGTGTTTCCCCAGGTTTCGAGATTTTGGATGCATTCACTGACTAATTTTGTTGTGATTCTTTTACATGTTAATGCTTTGCTGCTTGTCTATCTGATCTTATGAGGATTTTTATGTCAGTGTAACCTCTTTTAAGATTTTCCAGGGCACAAGCATTGATGGCATGTATTTCTGCTTGAAAGACCGAAGTGTACTTCCCTAATGAGTTTGATTGCTCATGTGGCTTGTACAGAAAACGCCTGATCCGGTTCTTTCGTTTGTTTTGGAGCCATCTGTGTACCATATCATTGTATCTGATGCACTCCTGTATTCTTCCTCTCCTTCATAGACCATTGAGACTTTATACGAAGTTGTAATGATTGTTTCCGGGATCATATAATCAGTCCCCATTTCTAATAATGGGTGTCCGATTTTGTTGATTATGGTTGTTTGCCCGAATTGTTTAGTTCCTTTCCAATTTAATTGTTTCTGGAGCCTAAGTGAGCTTTTCCTAGCCTCTCCTTGTATGAATATTTCCAGAGGAGGTAAGTTTAGCAAAGTTTCTAATGCATTTGTAGGGGTTGTTCCCATCGCCCCTGTGATACATAGGTTTGCTAGTCTTTGTAAGCTGCCTAATGTTTGGGTAGCTACTTTTTGTTGAGCTTTGTTCCACCATGATTACTGATGATATCCTGACGGTCGATTCATCCTTCGTTGGTTAACTTTAAATAATTTCAAATTGCCATTTCAAAGGATTGTTTGGTGTAATAAATAAACCATAAAGATGTTTCTATAATTGAATTTCTTTTTAGCGACAAGTGTGCTTGTTCAATAAAATGAAGTTGCAAACGTTTGTTTATACTTCTAGGACTTTTACCAATTTCTGAGTATAATAGTCCTTCCATTTGTTATTTCATAAAATGACCCTTATGAAAAAAATTAGCATTGATGATATGGGAAGATTTAACGATCAAATTTTACTAGTAAATCAGATGAAGAAAAAAGGTTAATTTTTAGTTTTACTGTCTAACCATTTAAACAAATATAGACACCCTCAATTTTTTTTCTTTTCCTATTTCCTCCAATAGGATTCGTCCTGTTTTCACGCGGAAACCACCTCCGCGCAGTATAAAAAAGGAGGTAAAAAAGTTCTTATTGAAATGTAAGGCGCAACATCGCTGAAAGAGGTCATCTCAGAAAGGGTCGCTGGAAATACGGCACCGACATTATGTTGCAAATCCGAACAACCCGAGAGAGAAGTAGGGGAGCTAAAAAGGATCCGAGTCTAGAGCGGCAGAGGTGTGGATTTAGGATAGAGCAAAGAATAAAATCAGCCGGGTAAGAGCCGGCTGGATCCCTCACGCCACTTCCAACTTCCACCCCTTACATAAGATTTACACAGATATTCCTGTCAAACTTCTCTTTTAATAAGTACACTTCTACAACCGTCTGAAACATGGGCTTGCAAAAATTACTGTAGATTTGAAGTGTTATTATATCGCAAATAAAACAATCTTGCATATTTAAACATCCTTGATACCCTGTTTTTCTTAATATGTTTAATATTCTAGTTCGAAAACCGATCCCCACACAACAATAAAAGTTAACATTAAAAAAGAAAAGAAGAACTGCACAAAACAAACCGTATTTCCACAGCACCAAATTAAACAGCACTTTTGGATTATTGATGCAAGGAGTCAATCTATGATGCACTAGCCAGAATGTTGACAAGCAATCAACCTTCATTCTTGATGAAATTCTAAGCGCCCATTGTTGTGTATTTTTCTGTCAAATATTCCTTATGAAAAGGAAACACATGTGCAGACCAACACATAATGTGCAGGAATTCCGAACATGTCTGACAAAGAAAACAAGCTAGAATGAAGAGACCAGGAAGTTCAAAACCGATCGAGCTTTATCGATAGCTTTATCTTTTTTATCGTTTGTTTTAATTCCGGTCCGCCAGTTATTTC